AATACTCATTTTCAATCAAATTTTGAACATAACTCAAAGATGGAGGACTGACCAAGAAGCAAGATTTCAAGACGCCAACTTAAAGGCAACCATTCTACTCTTGGTCGTTGGAATTCTGTGCTTTATACTGTCTTGATTTCTAGAGACTATGGATTTGGTCGTGGCAGCATTTTTGTAAAAATCTAGACTATAGTTGCCGGATTAAACATTAAAACAGCCTCCAGTTTTGTAGCCTTCATGGTCACTGATGGAGCTCATTTGCTAATGTTGCCGGGAATTATGACAACACTATTGTAAGAGCCACATGCATGTTGTTGAGAGTAAGTCTTGGAGTGATCTGCATCCTCATGCTTATAGAGTGGCTTATAGGATATTTTTCTACCATTTTCTACTTTCATAACATGTAAAATCCCATGTATTATATTTGGAATTTGGAATCACATTGGATTAGGAGAAATGGGTGCCTCAAATTGGAAACTGGTGGGCGTTAAGATTATGGAACTGTACAGGATCCTCGAGTGAGTGGAGAAACCAACTCCAAATTGTACGTCCTATGAATGAAATTGAGTATGTTAGTTATGATCTCTTCTGATGTTCAAGTATTGCCATCTTTCTTATTTTCTTTTTTTTAATAACTTAAGATTTATATTTAGAAATTATACTCAAAAGTTATATCATATAACTTCATAAAATTCACATATTCATACGTTACCTCAACTTATCACTTGAGTTTGATATGTCATAAAAGGGAAGAGTATTTTATCTTGGATACGGAGGATTCGTATTGATTGAATTAAGATTGTAAATGATTTTTACTCCTAATTTATACACAAAGGTTAAGCAAAAAACGAATCTGTACAGAACATAAAAGAAAACATTATGCTTTTGCTGTCTATTTTCCTGTAGTCCCCATCATAGACTTCAAATATAGCAAGCCTACTTAATTTTCCTTATACATTAGAGCCTAGTTTTCCATACAAAGCTAAGTCAAACTGATATATAGGGAACTGCATCATGTTGCTCTTCCTCGAAAATCTGCAGAACCTAATTTTCTCCCTCTAAGATGGAGAAGCTATAGTGTGGATTCCCATTTTGTTCAGCAAATAATGAAACTGTCTAGATCCGATTGCCTTGGTTAAAATATCAGCAACTTGTAAATTTGTAAAAATGTGAAATGGTTTCAATAAACCTTCTTAGATCATTTCTCGAACAATGTGGCAATCAATCTCAATGTTTTTCATTCTTTCATAAAAAAATGGATTGGATGCAATGTAAATGGAGGCTTGATTATTGCAAAACAATTGAACAGGTTGGTTGAGAGTTATACAGAAGTCTCGTAAGAGGCTCCAAAAACAAACTAATTCACAAGTGGTAGAGGCTATTGAGCGATATTCAGCTCAATAGCCTCTACCACTTGTGATGATCGAGATACCTTTTTTATTTCTTTGATTTCCAAGAGAACAAGGCATCTCCCAAAAAAATGCAAAATCTAGTGATTGAACTCCTTGTTCTCGAACATGCTCCTCAGTTGGCATCATAGAATGCTGTCAACTTCAGCGAGTTATTTGCTGGATAAAATAAACCCTGTGATGGAGATCCTTTGATGTATCTCACAACTCTAAGGCTACTTTCCAATGGGCCATTTTCGGTTGGCTTAGAAATTGACTCAAAGCTTGCACAGAGTAAGAGATGTCTAGATGTGTGATCATTAAGTATAACAATCGACCAATTAACCTTCTATACTCCTTTGGATTAGCGAGCTCAAGTCATTCCTCCTTGTTTAGCTTGTAATTTTGTTCCATTGAAAATTGAACAGATTTGGCTCCAATTAACCCACAATCTTATAAGTTTTCCAATACATATTTTCTTTGGCATATGGAAGTCCCTTTTGAGAGCAGGCTATCTTTATCCCCCAGAAAATATTTGAATCGTCTAAGGTCTTTTATTTTTGAAATGTTTTCCTAGGTACTCTTTCAAGTTTTGAACTTTGGTCTCATTGTCTCCCCATATCACCATATCATCAACATAAACAAGCATCATAGTGAAAGAGATGTTCATCTTTTTGAAGAATAATTAGTAGTCGGCTTTGGATTGTGTGAACCCAATTTTGGTGATGACCGAAGTTAACTTTTGATTCTATTACCTTGAAACTTGTTTCAAACCATAGAAGGACTTTTTCAGCTTACATACACGATTCTCTCCCTCTCTACCATATCCCGGTGGTAATGACATATAAACTTCCTCTTCCAAATCACCATATAGAAAGGCATTATTGACATCAAGATGGTAGAGAAACAAACCTTTAGAGGCTACAATGGCCAATAGGCAACGGATTGTGGACATTTTAGTAATCAAGGAAAAAGTCTCGAAACAATCTCCCCTCCTTCTGTGTATATTCCTTGGCTATAAGGCTTGCTTTGTACCTCTTAATGGTACCATCTGCCTCGTATTTTGTTTTAAATACCCATTTACATCACACGATTTTTTTGCCTCTCGGTGGTATGGTCAATTCCCTAGTATTATTTATTTCAAGAGTGGTTAGTTTATTTCGCAAAGTTGTTCTCCAGTGAGGGTACTGGTTGGTAGTGGCAAAAGAAGTGGGTTCGGCCTCCATGGTGATGGCTAAGCTGAAACTAGGGTGAGCTGAGGACAAGTTATCATAATTAAACGTAGAGGAAAGGGAATGAGATTTACTTCATCCATTTGCTATGCAGTAGGAGAACCATATGGATTAGCTAGAGAAGTTACAAGTTGACAACGGAAATCTTGGAGATATCCAGGTTGCTGTTGTTGTCTAGTGGATCTTCTCAGCTCAAGGACATTGTATGCTAGTGCTGGAAAACTTATCTATGGCTAGGATATGTCATTTTGGTCGTAGTATTCTGTAGTTAGATTGATTGCAGGGGTAATGTCACTATTGTTATGAGCAGGAACTGTCGATATCGGATCATAATAATCTGATATAGGATTGGGTATTACGGCAGGTCATCAAGTCTTGAGAGAGAAGGTGTTTGTAATAGTGGTGGTAACTGATTTGTATTTTGAAAGCGGAAGGTATTTTCATAGAAGACTACATCCCGGCTAATAAAGGTTTCTTGAGTCTTTAAGTCAAAGAGTTTGTAACCTTTAATGCCATTCGAGTATCCTATGAGCTCTTGGGTCAAATTTTGATCGATGGGGATTGAGATTTGATGCATAACACAAACATCATAAAGTCCTTAGGTGAGAATATGAAGGAATTTTGGAAAAATGATTTGGTACGGGGATCGATTTTGAAGATTTGAAGAAGGAATTCTGTTTACTAAATATGCTGTCGCGATAACACATTCTCCCCAGAACTTTAAGGGCAAAATGACTTGAAATCTAAAAGCTCTTGCTACATTTAGCAAGTGTAAGGGTTTCCTTTCAACAACAAAGTTTTGTTTAGGGGTATAGATGCAACTTTGTTGATGAACTAATCCTTTTGAAGTAAAGAATTCAGTCATTTGAAACTCTTTTCCGTGATCAAATCTTATTCCTTTAATCTTACATTTAAATTGATTTTCAACAAAATTGAAGAAACTCTCTATGATTTTCCTTGTTTGGCTATTAGAATGCATAAGGTAAGTCTATGTCATTCGACTATGGTCATCAACAATTGTAAGAAAGTAATGAGCACCATTGAGTGAACTAATAGAGAAAGGCCCCAAATATCCATGTGTATTAGATGAAAAGGTGCATCAACAAATTTTTGACTTTTTTTAAATGACAAACAGGTTTGTTTAGCCATATGACAAGTTTCACATTGATGCTTGATGACAAAATGAGGGATGTTAGGCTCTATACCATGCAACAAACCGAGACGTTGATTAGAGGGGCGTCCTAATCATAAATGCCACAATTCTGGTGTCAAAACAGATGAAGAGTTGGTTACAGGTTGGTGAGATGGTAGCTTGTCCCGAAGCTGGCCCTTCTCCAAAAAATAGAGCCCTTGTTTTTCTCCTGCAACTCCAATCGTTCTCCAACAGTCCAGCTCCTGAATAAAACATTGTTTAGCCAAAAAAAAAAAAATGAAACAATAGTTTAGATCTTGACTAATCTGACTTACAGAGATAAGGTTGTAATGGAAGTTAGGCACGTATAGGACATTTTTTTAAAGTAAGAGTAGGAGAAATAATAAAAATCTCTATATGTGAAACCGGTACCATAGTGCCATTAGGCAAGTTGATCGAGACATTTTGCAGAGACTTTCTCTGCACAAGTAGGTCAAATGATCCTGTGATGTGATCAGTTGCCCCACTGTCAAGAATCCATGTTCTTTTAATGGTGATGGTATTTGTGCAGCTCAAAGAGTGTCTGAAGGATACAGATAAAGTACCAAAAAATTTATCATTGATGTTTGATAAATTTATACCTTGGTTTTTTGAGTTGCTGCTAGATGAGGTAGAATTTTGGCTTTGCAGAAGAGCTATGAGATGGCGTATCTGATCTGGTGAGATGTTCAGACTTGGAACTCCGGAGCCCTCACTTGAGGATGCATTGTTGGTCAGCTTCTACTGGGTTCTACTTCCAGGATTTGGTTTATGTAATTTGTGGTTTGGAGGGTATCCATGGATTTCCTAACAAGTTTCCACGATGTGGTTTGTTCTCCCACATTCTGTACATAGTGCTTTCTCCTTAGAACCCAATCCCTTGTAGTTACCTTTTGTCTGCCTGGCATTTCCCCTCTAGTTCAGATTCTTGCCACTGTTGACTGCCATTGCTGCAGATTCTGCAACATTTTGGATAGGATTAGTGAACTCATGATTAGCCTTTTCTAGTAAACAATGTTGAATACATTATCTAATGAGGGCAGCGGATCCTTTATCAGAATCTGGTTCCTTAGGTCGGCGTAAGTGACATCCAATCCCATAAGGAATTGCATGATCTATCTTCTCTCTAGCCTTTTGTTCAACACCAAAACAACACCACAATCTGTTGTTGAACATTTGAAAGGCTCATCATATCTTGATATCTCTTCCCAGATAAGTTTCAACTTGGAAAAGTAAACACTTACTGGATTCTTTCCTTGCTTAGTTGCTGACAGTTGTTGCTCAAGCGTGAAGTTCCTGTTATTGCTTGATCTTGCAAATCTTTTCTTTAGCTCACTCCAAAATTTTTATTTCAGAGTCAGAGAACATGATATATTCACCAATCTTAGGCGAGAGACTGTTGGTGATCCAAGATAGGATCATGTGGTTGCACCTCTACCACTGTGAGTATTTCTCATCGGCCTCAATAGGTTTTTTGATGGTGCCATCAATAAAACATAATTTGTTTTTGGCTGAAAGGGCACATATATAGCTCTACTCCAAGACTGGTAGTTATGAGGGGTTAATGGTTGTGAGACTAAAACAAATCCAAAGCTCTCCCCATGATGTAGGAAATAGGGATTCGAGAATTCATCTGCGGGTTGGTGAGGTTCAGCCATAATGAGGATTGATGAAGAAAAAGGTTCTAGTGTGAAGAAAGGATGTTAGGATCGATGAGAAAGAGAGGTTTAAAGCTCCAGCTCTGATACCATAATAAAAGAGGAGTATTTTATTTTGGATACCAACGAATTCGTATTGATTAAATTAAGATTGTACATGATGTTTACTCCTAATTTATACACAAAGGTTAAGCAAAAAACAAAGCTATACAGAACATAAAAGAAAACAATATGCTGCAGTTCTCTATTTCCCTGTAGTCCCCATCTTAGACTTCAAATATGGCAACTCTGCTTAATTTTCCTTATACATTAGAGCCTGGTTTTCCATACAAAGCCAAGTCAAACAGATATATAGGGAGCTGCATCATGTTGCTCTTCCTCAAAAATCTGCACAACCTGATTTTCTTTAGTATTTTCTCAATAATATGATAGATAAGTTTTATTCTATATTCGGAGTATATCTATATTGAGATTATAAACTCATACTAGATTCTGGATTAAAACTCTAATGTTGGGTACTCGATTAACAAACTTAAAGAAGATGGAGGAAAAAACTCGACTGGTTTATTTTCAACATGTACAGTATACTAGACACTTCGAACTGTGCAGGGCATTATTCTTATAAATGCTTGCATAGTGGGATACTGGATCATCACATCAATTCAAATTCCTCTTGCCATAATTTTCACTACATGGATAGTCCACAGTTGGAGACACCTCCAGAATACTGCTACCACTTATCACGAAATTGGCAGAGCATGAATGTTCGTGTTGTGGCATCAATTAGTAATTTTGTAGCAGGACTCTAATTGAATATGTTTCTTGATTAAGGAAAATTAAGGTGAAACAAGAAACTAATTGGCAGATTAGCTCATCTTCCCAACAATGGCACTGCTATGGGTGGAATTTTTATGGTTGGTGGTGGGATTCTCAATAAGTGCAGTTCTTCTCGAATAGAACCTCAAGTAAATTTTGGTTCATCTTTTGTATCTTACTTCTTGATCAAATATGCTTTTGACTCCTAAATTTCTAGCTCATCTCATTGTTTTCTTCTCATCTACCATGTCTGCGATTCAGTACTCGTTTGATATTCTTCTCATCCATCAGCAAAGAAATTACTAAGGAACTCAAGTGCATTTAGACCGGGAGCTGAAAATTCATAAGTACAATAGTTAGTAGAATGAGTAATTCAACATCTACATCCCTGGTAATAACAAATATTAATCTTCTTGTTAGCATCATTTTTTGTCTTTTTAGGCATATTCCATTTTGGTTAATGGAAAATAGTATTTTTTTTTTTTTCCTCTTAATGCAAATTGCTCTGAAAACTCCACTCATTATGAGATAATCCAGATGCTCACAAATATTTTTTGATGTTCTTTATGGTTCTTGTCTTTCAAGCTCATCTTTCCTGTTCTTTGGAACGGGCCTGAAGTTTGGATTGTTGTAAAATATATAAAAATAAGCTTTAATCTTTCAACCTTTTAATTTTCAATTTTAACAAAATTAAAAATTCTTAACGTTAAAGTGTAACTTATGTATAAGTTGGATTTAATTCCATGGATGTGGGAGTTAAAATTTTCCCTATTAAAAAGGATTATTTTCATACAACATAAAATGAATCACAACTTGGAAGATAAACACTGTATACAACTCTTACTATGTTTCTATATTTTGATAATTTGATAAGAAGCTTGTTCATTTATCTCCTTATGATCGTGCCCATAAAAGGAGAGCCACATGAACTTTATCTTGGAACTATGTAGTGCCGAATAAATCTGCACGAAGGGGAGGCAACACTATTTTAGGATAATGTTTTCGGCGTGACTCTCAATGCTTTCTTTTCTAACCCTCTTCTTATTTTATATAATTATTGAATTATGTTTATGTCATTTAATTGATTATGCTAATTGATAAATTTATCTACACATAAATCACTAATTTTCCCAACATGGATGGGGCTAGATTGAACTAACTGATTCTGATTTATCATCATCATTAGTGAATTAGGTTTAACAATAGTGGAAAGGGGAATTTTCCTTCAAAAGGCCTTTATTTAGGGGAAAAAATAAGGCCGAAAGTCTTCATTTTAAAAATAAAGTTCATTTTAGAATTGATAAAAATAAATTTTCATTTCTTTATGGAAAAAGAATAAATAAACTTCGAGTCAATAAACTTGCCAATTTTAGGATCATCATCTAGACCAACTCATTTCGAGCAACTAAAAATTGAATACTGTGAATATGTAAAAATTGCTACTTTTTTTTTTTTTTTCCTTATATCGTACTACTTTGAACCAAATGGACTAAATCCAAGTTAAATCAACCCTAGGAGCCTGTTCGGGAGTGGTTTTGAGAATTGATTTTTTGACCGTTAAGACAAAGTGGGATCCACCTGTGAAAGAAGAAGTCAAATATGACGACTGAAATAATGAAATAACGGTCAAAATATCAATTTTTTAGAAGAAAAAAAATCACTCACAAACAGGCGCTAGGTAAATTTATTCGACTCCAAAGAAGATTAATGAGTTAATTTACAAATACTGATGACGGCAAAACGAAAACGACAAGATGGAATCTTATCATTTTAGATAATTCTTGAAGCCTGGTCACATTAGGAACACCAATGGGGTATGAAATTCCAAAATGCTGAGATGGAAATCTTTCTATTCCACGTGTCGCAATACTACTGCTGGATACAGAACCTAATCCTACATTTCACGAAATCAAAGATTGATTGGCTGTGGGCATAACCAAAGACAGATAAGGTGGGCTCTATGTATCCACTCTGCATCACATAATCAATAGAAAAACATCATCCCTTCCATTACTTCGTCTAAAAAGGTTTCTGAAAATTTTTGTAGAAGCAAAACTGAGTAAGTAGGTCAAGGAATGGCTTCGTTGGCAGGCTTGCTTGGCTCTTCTCAAGCTGTCATGGAAGGCAGCCTTCAGCTTAGTGGCTCAGGCCGCTTTACCACAGCTAGCAGCAGCAAGATCGCCCTGGCCAGACCAAATTTCAGCATTAGAGCCCAGCAAGGGTCAGCTGAGACAGAAACCAGCCGCCGCGCCATGTTGGGACTTGTTGCAGCTGGGATTGCTACAGGTTCTTTTGTTCAAGCCGTACTAGCTATTGAAGCAAAGCCCATCAAGGTTGGACCACCACCACTACCCTCCGGTGGACTGCGTAAGTATTATATTATTTTACTGAGTATACTTAATGGGATCAGATCGAGAATTTCTGGGCTCTAGACATTAGTTCATATTGGAATGATCACAATTACAAATGAAAATTTGTGAATTTTGAACTTACTAATTGCTATTGTTCCAGCATTTGACATTGACCATAATTCAGTACGTACGGAATGGGAACTCATGGATTCTGGTGTGGGATTCTGACAAATAATACCACTTTTCCCGGGAACAAATGAACATTTGTACAAAACTTGAAGGCAAAGCCTCTGAGCTATTGAGATTTTCACCGTATTGCGTTGTTTAAGGGGTCAACGAGGCTTTTTTATATTTTCAGAATTTGAATGTTTTCTATGTTGATCGTTGTTGGCATGTCAGATTGAAGTTAAAGTTTTCGTCCGAGTCTTTCTCAATATTAAGTCAAATTCTCAGTATTCATTTGAATCATCTAGCATTCACACTTTTGCTGCATCAACTACTTATCCTGCTTGGTAAATTCTGTCTCTGCAGCTGGAACTATGAATTCTGACGAGCCAAGAGACCTTGATTTGCCCCTGAAGTCCAGGTTTTTCATTCAACCATTGCCACCAGATCAGGCAGCATCAAGGGCAAAGGAATCTGCCAAAGATATTCTCAACGTGAAGGCATTTATAGACAAGAAGGCATGGCCTTACGTCCAAAATGACCTGCGCTCAAAGGCAGAGTACCTCCGTTATGACCTCAACACTGTGATTGCCGCTAAGCCTAAAGACGAGAAGAAAGCCCTTAAAGAGCTCACAGGAAAGCTCTTCCAGGACATTGACAATGTGAGCCCCTATTAATTCCATCCCTTTCCCTTTTTAAATTTTTGAACGACACGTTTGAATCTGGATTCTGACAAAATTGTATTCATTTTTATCAGCTGGACCATGCAGCAAAGATCAAGAGCAGCCCAGAGGCAGAAAAGTGCTATGCTGAAACTGTTTCCACTCTGAATAATGTTCTTGCCAAGCTTGGTTAGAAAGATGTAAATGCACAATGTTGTAAGATTTCATTTTGAGTCAATGAGATACTTTGTGTTATGTAATTTCTCATAATTGATTCTCTCAATCATTGAACAATCTGAAAGCAAATAAACAACTTCGAAAAAAACTCAGATAAGGCTTCAAACTAATTTTAGACCAATAACGGAGGGGGTTATTTATATGAACTAATCTATAGCTTCTTGTGACTGATCATGATAAATGTATTGCAATATATAACACGTCATCAATTGGTTGCTTTTCAATTTCAGGGGCGGATTTAGGGGGTTGGCCTGCACTGTTTTCCCTTACAGAAAATTGTTTTTTATATGTGGAATTTTTATTTAATATATTAGCTCGGTCTAAAAGATTTTATAGTCCGCCTTGGCTCTGTCCCTGTCTTTAAGTGCAATATGACATTAGAGTCACAGATGACTATGAGTTGCAAAGTTTCTCCTCATGCGTGGAAGGCAACGAAAAATGGAATCTAGTAACATTTGGAAAGAGTATAGTAATTGACATGTATTCACATACTTGT